GAAAATATACTTAAATCTACATTTATAAAAAATGAGCCAGGGTCAATGTGACATGCTGCAAAATTTGGATAAAAGTCATTTTGGTGTGTGCATGTGTGTGTGTGTGTGTGTGTGTGTGTGTGTGTGTGTGTGTGTGTGTGTGTGTGTAGAAAAAAATTAAATGCATTTAAAAAAAAAAAAAAACGTATTCAAAAACATTCTACTGTTTTTCTTTTGGAGGGGGTGGGGGGGTGGAAAGAGTTTTAAAAATTGAGTCAATTTGGCGTGCCAGGTCAGTGAGAGCCATACAGAAACCCAGCAAAATGTAACAACGAAATATATAGATATATTTTTTTTTTCTGTTGTTTGTTGAATTTTGCATTCGCAAAGGTGTAGCTTAAAGTCAAGTGCATTAAGATAAGAAGATGAGAAAGGGGCAAAGGGGGGAAAGCGGCAGCTGCTTTTAGTTGTATAAAAGAACTCGGCTACAACTACTTTTTCGTACCATCTTTGTGGTAATGGACAACTTTTAGTACAGGGTGGGGAAAAAAGAGAGGGCCGACACATTAGATAGATTCAGCGCTAAACGTGCCGGCGCCCGCGGAGGCCAAAGGGAAGACCGTCGATCGCAATTGATGACTTAGAGAGAGACGAGTGGCGGGCGAATCAATTAAAACACTTTTCGGCTCACGGTCTGACAGAGTCCGCCGTGGCATGTGGTCACTGCTGGGTAAGTACTAATCAGTGGAAAAAAAGTACTTTGAAATAGAAGTACAGGTACTTGCTTAAAAAAAAAAAAAAAAGGCAGGTAAAAAGTAGAACTATGGATTCAACTCAAGCGAAGTTACAAAAGTACAGGCATTGATATACATTTAAGTACAAAAGTCCCTTTGTTTTTTTTTTTAAATTGTTTTTGTTTTTTGCTGTTGGGTTTATTTATTTATTTATTTATTATTATTATTATTATTGAATTTTTTTTTTTTTTTTTTTAACCGTCAGCCTGTCTGTGACGGCGACAGCATTAACGTGCAAAACAAACATCATTGAATACAGTATTTTGGTCCCTCCGACTGCAATGATATTGTCCCATAGTATTTTTGTTTCGCTAATCCCCTAACTGTGTTTTTTGGGTTTTTTTTGCATGAGTGTGACATAGTAAGTACATTCGTGACGCCAATTGATTGTCACCAACGATGACGACGCCCACAACCGTCGTTTTGATAACTTGACACATTGACAGAGCAATAAACTTCTCTGTTAGCTAGCATTGGCTCAGGCTTTCATTCTGTTTCCATGTCTTTGTTGACACTGTGAATGAAATTTGCCTTATCTGTAATATTTTTTTCCCTGATTAAAGTTAGAATTTTTGAACGCAACACTCAAACCAATCTTTTAAATCAAACAAAACGTCGTTTTCCAAATTAAAACACAAGTGATTGCAGTTTTTTGTTTTTTTTTTATCACTTGCCAGGTGTACAGAGTTGATTCACCGACTCTATTTTTGTTGCAACTGTCCAGTATTGTTCCGTTTGTCCATGGGACCAGTATTTCTTAACGTACCAGTAGTAAAAATTATAAATCGTTGGGCACGCTAAACCAAGTTAATCCTTTGATGCTCACCGAACAGATTTCTCACTTTGAAGTTAGAGGCGTATTTTCCACAGAATTTTGGTGGCGTTCCAAATAACCAAGCCAAAGCATGCACGTTTTTTTTTCTCTTCTCTTTTTTTTTTTCCATGCCGGCCCCGGCGGAGATGTTTTCTTCTTATCCGTTCTCCTTGTGATGGTTCAGCAGAAGACACAAAGCGTAAATTTTGTTGCTTCGCCGTCCCCTCGCTCTCACTGGGGACAATTACGCACATCTTTCAAGGCGTTGCCAAGCATAATTTGCCGCACAAATTAAAAACGGACCACATTTGATGAAGGAGAAAATGAGCGGTGAAGGGGGTGGCTGTGTGGTCGCGGGGGATGAAAATGATGAGACAAAATAAACAGTTCCACAATCCTCAAAGACCATTTTTCAATCTATTTTGTGCAATGCTTCACATTTTAGCTGGGAACAAATGTGCCATTATCTTTAATAGCAATTGTAGACTGGGTGCCGCGACATCCGGCAAACAGGGCTGGCTCCGAGCATCGGGCCATCTGTTGAGCGGGCCCACTCAGCCCTTTTGGGCTCCCGTATGCCTCATAGACTACGTCCGGAGCATCAACAGAGCCCCCCCCCCCACTCCTCACACCCTCCATCAAGGCCTACGCATTTGAGTCCCTGTGACAGAAAAGGTAGATAATTACACCTTGAGGGCAACAATGGCTTGTCACTCAGTGGGCACGCTGGAAGAGTCTGTTTTTAGACTCCAATAATTAACCCTCTACGAAAACGCCTCTCATTGTAAAGCTGCTTCAGTTTTCTTTTCGGTGCTCTACCGCCATTTTTCCTATACCGAACCAACGAAGAGTCATTTTGAATATTTGACACGATTTGGTAAGTATGGTACATTTGACTGTATGATGCCAGATGAAATGCCTCCCATTCAGTTCTGGTTGTGGGACTTTGCTGTCATTTTCCAAATCGTAATGTTGCGCATTACATGACAATGCCTCATTCCAAAAAGTAATTGCCGTACTTTCCGCACTATAAGGCGCACCCAGAAGCATTCCGTTTTCTCACCGACATTGCGCCTTATAATCCGATGCGCCTTACATATGGATCAATATTCTGATTTCATGGACATAGTATTTGAAATGTTCTGTCAAGCGCTTTGTTACAGCTGCAGCGGCAATGAAAGCTCGATATAAATAAAGCTGTATTGTATTGTATTCCCTTTAGCATAGCTCCATCTAGTGGATGCCTAACACAACTGCAGCCACTATTGTAGCTTCTATTCTCTGCTCCTTATAATACATGAAAACAGTTTTAAAATAGGCCATTCACTGAAGGTGCGCCTTATACCCCGAAGCGCCTTATAGTGCGGAAAATACGGTACCTTATGTATTATAATTAGCACCGCAACAAGTTCGGATCATTGACGGTATATTGCCATATAAAAGTGACTCCCATTGGAGACCCAAAGCAGTTTTCTTTCGGCACGACTGTCTGACATTTTAAGAACACCTATTTTAAAAAACAGTATTTATGTATGTTGCCAGAAAGGACTCCTTTTGGAGACTAGCTTTGGGTTTTCTTTTCGGTGCTTTCTCATCATTTTTGCCTCAACTGAAGCAAAGACGATAGCAGCTGCTTCAATCCGTGCAGCAAAAGGAAAGAAGGACGAGGCAGAGGAAGGTTTGGAATCAAAACGTGTGTGTTGAAACGTGTGCTGATAGGTTCGATGAGGACAGCTGTCTTACTTTTTTTTCTTCTGTCAAGTCGATGGAAAAGTTGGAAAAATTGGCCCCATCAATTTCACTTTGCGTGGCTCGGTGCTCTATGACCTTGGGTGAATTGGACACCCCCCTCCACCACTACCACCACCATCATAATCATCTCCCCCCTCTGTTGCACTCCTCTCCTATTCAGTGATATTCACACTGAGGGGGATTTCAGCGGGTGCAAAGGGAGTGATAAAACTTTTATTCATCCCACTGTGCCTCCCGAAGCTAATGATTCATGGATGCGGGCGGGGGGTTGAGGAGGGTGTCACAGGGCCAGAGCTCAATGAGGTTTGAAAGCTGTTGTCACACATCAACGGGCAGGTGCCTGATGTCGAAAAGCTCCATTCCCGACACTTCTCATCATGACATTCCCCGGCTGGGCTCAGCACTTCTGCCTCACCTGATCGTTTCGCTCTGGCCGGGAGTTGGGAAATAGAGACTTGAGCACATTTTGATGGGAGTCACGGATCACCGGATGGAGATAACTTTCTGCCTTCGATTGACAAAGTAAAGCTTTTTTTTTTTTTTTTTTTAAATGCAGCTATTTCATTTGTGCATTGACAGGAAAATTCGATCAGGAAATGATTCTTTGGGTACCAGGTGGTGCATTTTTTTGTTGTGTTGTTGTTTTCAAGCGCTTGTGTCCTGGGGGAAAGTTTGTTTTAGCTATCCTGATCATGACTCACGCTCAAAGCTCATTCGGTCGTGCCATTGGAAAGTTATCAAAAGTCCAAGTGATTGACATTTCATAACGGCGCCCGAAAAAAGTGAGTGTCTTTTCTAAAATGATGTTTCCTTGAACATTTTATTCCTTTTTTCTCAAGTGTCTTTTTATCTTGCCTACGAGACAAGTTTCCCTTTGGGCCAATAAAGAACAGTGGTACATTGAATTTACAACTGTACCAACTTCTGCTTGGTCGACTAGACAGACGCAAGCCATAATTTGAGGTGTGGGTGAGCTTCATATACACTGCTCCTAAAGAGTTGTAAAAAAAAATAACAATAATAAATAAAAAAATTAAACAATAAAGCTAGCATAATGCCCTGCAATACGGGCAAGGAGAGCCTCTGTTACGACACACTTTTACTCAGCCGTGACAAACTGTCAAAAAGTCACAAATACAAAATAAAAACACTTGCGAAAAGCTGCTGTGTGCCACAACTCACGCCGAGATTCTCACACTGAAATACGCGGCAAACCAGACTTTAGCTCCTGATGTCATATACCAGGCCACACCCCTTTAAGGCACACATCTAACACAAGGATACTAAACACATGCAATCATTAGACTTTGTTAGACACATTCATTTTTTTTTTTTTTTTTTCTACATTCTCATGTATTACGTTTTATCATACAGTTCAATGCACTTTTCCTTTGGTAAAACAAAATGAGGTGTGTTGGGGGGCAGGAAGAAATTCCAAGGGGAAACACTGATTGATGGAAACGGAGTTATCTGAGTCACGGCACCACTGCATACTCAACTTAGGGTACTTCCGGGCAATCTCATGGACGACAAGCTGACATGTAATGATTGACACTGCCAATCACTCGTCGCTCCTTTTTTGTTTTTTTTTGACCGCGTCCTCCAGTGCAGGTGTCAGGTGATGAAGATGTGCGGCGCGAGAAGCAAGCGGGTCCACTTACTTTGAGCGTCAACGAGGTGGGCGAGCAGACCCAGGGCGACGAGCATCAGCGCGGGCCTGGCGCGGCGCATGGTGGGACAGCTCGGCACCAGCATGCTTTGGCAGCCTCGGTGGCGCTGGCTCACAGAGCCCTGTGAGTCAGTCCGCTCTGATTTCTCAGATGCAGGGAATGTAGTCACAGCCTATGCAAGAAACGGTAGGGGGGGTTGGGGGGAGAGAGGAAGTGAATGAAACAAAGCTGTTTGCTCGCCGGGTTTT